CTCTGGGTGGCGGACCATTAGATGGATGGCGGATCACTGGGTGGGTGGCGGACCATTAGATGGATGGCGGATCACTGGGTGGGTGGCGGACCATTAGATGGATGGCGGATCACTGGGTGGGTGGCGGACCATTAGATGGATCGCGGATAACGGGTGGGTCGCGGAAATGTCATGTTGATCCGCCAGTTTTCTGCCGGATCTTGTAGCAGCTGCTTGATACCAGCTCTGCATTGCTGTCTTGATTTTCCAAACTCTAAACAGCAACGATAGCTATTCGTACATTTACGTTCCGCTGTAAAACCTGCACCTCAACAGCTGAACTCGAAATGAGGATGCAAGCTTTGGAAATGAAAACATTGAGCGTGGTGGTGTGAATTGTAGATTCAGAAAATAGCGCTATGCCTGTTGTCGCAATATTGGTGGTGCCCTTGTGTGATTAGAACGGATCGCGTGTGCAACTGCTGATCTGTTGGTGACTACTGCTACCATCCATGATGAACTGCATTTCTAATGTCAGACTGTTTGTGTTAGCACTTCTGATGTCTGCCGTATGCTTTTAATGCGTTTGTATGCTAGATATGCTGAGAGAGTAGTCTGTCAATCTTTCCCACAAGGGACTGTGATGAACATTCTGTGTGTTTTTTCGTTGGCACACAGCGGAGCAAATATGTGGTGACCCTTTTGCTATGAAGCTGAAACTAACATTACCAGACTACAGCGACACGCAGTGTTACTCGATGACGACGATGATGAAATAACAGCAGATGTCGCCTCAGCTGACACTTGTAGTTTTGTGACATCGGGTTTAACAGATAAACTACTGTTTGTATTTCTATCTGTCATGTGCCGTGTATATAGAATGGTTTGAAGAACATCGGTCTAAACCCATAGCTCAGTCAGAGTGAAGCATTTTCTAAACCCTGCTTAATTTGCCCCGTAGCGCAGCTAACACGGGCGCTGTAACTGAATGATCTGGCAAGTGTTCTCGGGCACTTGAATCTAGTTTTTTGTTTTCCACTTGGGTTCAGGGGTCTGGGGAAGTCAAGGGGGTTCACGGCTGTGTGTGTGTTGTAGCTGGACTGGTAGTAGAGGGAGTGGATAAATATGGGTATTAAAAGGGGATTTTGTCATGGTTGCATTTAAGTTGCTGCAGTTGCAAGTTGCCATTGTTCAGTGTGTTTGTGTTTAAGCAGGGAGTAACTATTCATAATTTAGGTTGGTGTTGTTTTCTTTTAGATGTAGAAGTTGTGCTTCCTCATTCTCTTCATTTTTCTCTTCCTCCTCCCACTTGTCTTCTTCTTATATTTCTACATCCTCCTCTTGTTATTTTTTTCTCTCTTCGTAACATTTTATCCTTTTTTTTTTCATTCTTTCTTTCTTTCTTTTATTCTGTCTTTCTTTCTTATCTTTCTTTCTTTCTTCTCTTCGTATAACTTTCTCCTCTTTCATTTTTTCTTTCTTTCTTTCTTTGTTTCTTTATTATCTTTATATCACTTTCTCCTCTTTCAATCATTCGTTCTTTCTTTCATCTCCACCTTTTTTCCTTAATTGGTTCTTTCTTCTTTCGTTGCTTCTACAACTTTTTATTCTATCACTATCTCTTACTCCAAATTCTTCTTCATTTAAGAGAGTGACAGAGACAGGAAGACAGACATGGTGACCGAGAGTTGAGTGATGTTGCTACCTAATTATGCAGTTTTTTATCCCAGAAATCTAAGTCGATGCGAACGCTTCATAATGCCGGGATACCAGGTTCGATCCTAGCTGCGGGCCATGGTTTCGACAGTGGTATCCAGAAAGCCGACCGTCCAGGAAGCAGTGGCAAACTACTGGACGTAAATTTGCCCAGAGAAACCACACAACAGCCCAGGGCTGCTGGGGTTGGTTCTGCAACGTCCTGTAAAGGATACGCAACTAACCTATCCCAGAAATTAGTTTATCTGACTCTATAACAGAGACACTTGTTAACTTGACAGATTATGTCCACAGAGCCTGGACTGACTGACTCTGTATATCACGCGGTGTTCCTGTTTTCCTTGTAATTCCCAGCTGATGGGTTTTGGGGGGTGCAATTTGCACACGCGCCTAGTTGAGTGGGGTGGGGGTGGGGAGCGACCGGGCCAAATCTCATCGTGGGGGGGGGGGGGCAAATAATAAAAATACGTGTTTGAACGTGAAAAGTGGGTGAGGTGAATAGGAGATTTTCCGCACTGGCTACTACCCCACCTTGCTATGCCACTGCACACGACCACCTGTTAATCACCCATATTCTGTCGCGTGGGTCCCATGTTGGGGGGGGGGGGGGGGTGAATTAAGCTCATCAATCAGCACGTCCTTTACCGAACGTCGCTCTCTTCACGGCACGCCCTAAAGTAACCCTGGTAATCTTAGTTTCAACTTCATAGCAAACGGGTCACCCCACAGTTGCTCCTATCCTGTGCCAACGAAAAACACATAAAATGTTTATCACAGTTCAAATTAAATTCGCAGCTTACAGTGTTACGCAATGCACTCAACTCAGAAGCTGTTCAACGAAACTATCCCTTTCCTTAGCCAGCTCTACCGTCCCATGTGCCTTCAATGCCAATGCATCTTCAGTTTTTTGAATCCATCTTCTCCGTGGTCGACCCTTGCCTCGCCTTGCATAAACGTCACCTTCCATCACCGTCTCTTCCAAGCCACCATGCCGCCTGATGTGGCTAAAATACTTAAACTTTCTGGACAGAGTGCTACTGCCCCCTTTTAAGTCGGCTATTTAGGGGTGTTTCTTGAACTGACGGTGTACATGTGCCTGTAAAACCTGCAAACTAAATTCTCCATACAAATAAGCCAAATCTGCGAAACAAATGTGCACGTAGAACTGAAGGTCTAGAACAGGACTAACCTCCAGAAGTGGACAAACAGCAAGTTCGATATGCTGAAGTTTACAGCAGGTCAACAAGAAGAAGATGATGATGATGTTGCTGATGATGATGATGATGATGAAGAAGAATTTTTTTTGCATTCTGGATGTGCACATCTGCCACAGCTGTATGTTTGCTGACATCTGCAAGTTGCTCACTAGACAAGGTGGCTGCAAACTAGATTACTATTGATTAGCTGTTAGAGGAGGTTTTAGTACGTTTTATGTGGTTGTCTTTTTCTGTTTGCTTTTCTTTCTTTCTCCATGTTTAGGGCAAACAAGAATCACTCCTCTGTGGGTTCTGGAACTGCATGTTTAGGACAAACAAGAATCACTCCTCTGTGGGTTCTGTAACTCCATGTTTAGGGCAAACAAGAATCACTCCTCTGTGGGTTCTGTAACTCCATGTTTAGGGCAAACAAGAATCACTCCTCTGTATGGGTTCTGTAACTCCATGTTTAGGGCAAACAAGAATCACTCCTCTGTATGGGTTCTGGAGCTCCATGTTTAGGGCAAACAAGAATCACTCCTCTGTATGGGTTCTGGAGCTCCATGTTTAGGGCAAACAAGAATCACTCCTCTGTATGGGTTCTGTAACTCCATGTTTAGGACAAACAAGAATCACTCCTCTGTGGGTTCTGTAACTCCATGTTTAGGGCAAACAAGAATCACTCCTCTGTATGGGTTCTGTAACTCCATGTTAAGGGCAAACAAGAATCACTCCTCTGTGGGTTCTGTAACTCCATGTTTAGGGCAAACAAGAATCACTTCTCTGTGGGTTCTGTAACTCCATGTTTAGGGCAAACAAGAATCACTCCTCTGTGGGTTCTGTAACTCCATGTTTAGGGCAAACAAGAATCACTCCTCTGTATGGGTTCTGTCACTCCATGTTAAGGGCAAACAAGAATCACTCCTCTGTATGGGTTCTGTAACTCCATGTTTAGGGCAAACAAGAATCACTCCTCTGTATAGGTTCTGTAACTCCATGTTTAGGGCAAACAAGAATCACTCCTCTGTATGGGTTCTGTAACTCCATGTTAAGGGCAAACAAGAATCACTCCTCTGTATAGGTTATGTAACTCTATGTTTAGGGCAAACAAGAATCACTCCTCTGTATGGGTTCTGGAGCTCCATGTTTAGGGCAAACAAGAATCACTCCTCTGTATGGGTTCTGTAACTCCATGTTTAGGGCAAACAAGAATCACTCCTCTGTATGGGTTCTGTAACTCCATGTTTAGGGCAAACAAGAATAGATGCATGCATGTCGTAGAAGTTGTCTGATTAGGTGTTTGCCGAAGAGGTGCAAAAATTGCTGCCTAGGTTAAACCACAACACAAACAAAACCTTCATTTTTGTCCCAGGTCATGCTGGTGTGAAAGGCAGTGAGAGAGCAGACGCTCCGGCTGGCAGTACAACTATCAGGTATGGGCCTTCTATGTAGAGGAGAAACATCATCATTGCAAAACGAGAGACTAAACGCTGTGAGGCTTTCAGTTTCGTGGAAAATGATTTTTCACTGAATAGACTGCATACCCTGGGTATACCTGTTGGAGCTGCAAGATAGGAAAACCCTGTGGGAGCCAGATGTCGTTACATCAACCAGAGCAGAATGAGAGTTGTTAGCCTAAAACACTTTGAGAAATACTCAGAAGGAGATCGGAGCGCTTATGGTCATGTCGGTTGTGCGATGAAGATGATTTCTAAAACGAATAATGAACAACGTACCAACCACTATTTTAGGTGCAAATACAGAGAAGAAGCTACAGATTGTTTATAGATGCCGTCTTATGTATTCTGGTAATTTATTTACAAGTGCACATTGTTATTTATTCTCTAGGTTTCACTGAGGGGATTGCAACGGAAAGTCAAGACTGATTTAGGATCTGTGTGAACTTGTGAATTTGTCTGTGAGAAAATACATTTTTTAGAGGAATAATGTCAGAAATACATAATTCACTTTGAGAGACTCATCCCAGAAGTCACTGATGCCAGCTTCAACTCATAGAAGAATGCTTTGACTAAAATAATCAGTTCTTCCCTTGGAAGTCTTCCTGGTGGAGCTGTTGTTGATAGGGATTTTAGGTCTGGCGCAGATGTGATGGCGGCTGATTTCAGGGATGTTCACCTGAGCCCACACTTGTCTGAGATACATGTACATTCCGCAGGCAAGCACCCGCACCTCATTATTCCCACGGATGTACCCCTTGTGACCTACCACACTCAGTACCTGCCCTCTGGAAATCCAGAAGCAGGGAAATATGAGGTGAATGGTAATTATGCTGTGAATCCGGAGCTGGCGATGCCTGGGCAGCTTTGCCTGTGCAACTTGAACGGGGATGGGGTGTTTGGGTCTTATAATGATATGGACGCAGAGAGTCTCAGGGCGGAGACTGAATGTCCGTATGTTGTGACAGATGGTGCCATAAGATCTTTCACATCATGTGAGAAGTGTAATTTCTTAAGAACATTTCACACGAGCGGCAGCAGAGAGGCTGTAACCATGAGGCGACAGCGAGGTTCCAGCAATGGAAGTTACGATGGTGCTTTAGAAAGAATAAACGAGGATCAAGATCATACCATTTGTACTTCTAATTCTCCTGAAAGATGTCATTCCTGTTCCTCATTAGAAGGAGCTTCCCTTGATGCCACTGGCACATTAGCCCATGCTTGGAGTGAACCTACAAATGGCGGGCTAACAGATTCATCAGCTTCGTCAGCAGGTATAGCTGCCAACGGTCACCCAGCAACTTTAACAGATAATTTTCAATCTATAGACAATGACTGTGGGAACTCCACTTCAGCTCAACAGTTCACATTGCTTCCTACACTTTCCATCACCGATTTTAGCCAGCATCTCCCTCTGATCACGGAATCATCTATTGAAGAAGACCAACCAGTCAACGAAACAACAGAATATTTAGTGAAAGATGCCGATTCTGGGATTGACCAGTCCCAAAATGCTTCAGTTCAGGAGAAAGACAACATTGAGAACCTGGAATCATGTGGGCAGTCCCCAGCAGACCAGTCACTCCAGTCTGCAGGCTCAGGGGCTCTTCATCTTCCCTTGTCTGCATTCCGATTTCACACAAATTTGACTTCATCCGCGTCGAAAAACAGAAAACTTCGAGACAAGCAACTAGCAGGTCCTTCTTCCTGCCAGAGAGGGAAGAGCCGCCCTCCGCCCAGCCAGTCGTGGTTACTGAGGCTGTTCGAGTCCAAGATGTTTGACATGACTATTGCTATAACTTACTTGTATAATTCCAAGGAGGCAGGTGTGCAAACTTACATTGGTAAGCAGGCCTTTGTACTCGTGTCCTTCTTTTTCTTCTTCCTCTTCTTCACATTCACCAGCTGTAAACTCCAGCTTAAAGTGTTGGTTCTTCACCCACATTTGGATTTGAGTCTTGTTCCAAAGCCTCTGTTTCGCATGCACATCCATTTTACAGATCTGGCATATTTTTGTGCAGGCTGTTGGTTTCTCACCACTCATACAGATGCACACTGACTTTGAAGGAAACATCCTTAGTCAACTCAAACAACATGCTTGTTGGGGGGGGGGGAGTAGGTAGTTGTGTGCGTTGGTTGGGGCGGGGGGGGGGGGCAGGATGAAAAGACTCGCTGTCCTTAACATAGGTGTCATAACAGACAACCAGTTAAGCATTTTTTAAATCAGATTTGTTGAGCCAAGAAGTGCAAATATCACAGCCTGGCTGTAAATGACATTATGACATGCTTTTTGACCTTGTAAGGGTGAATGAAGAAGAGGAAGAATACTCTTAATATAGACGTGCCCACCTTTGAGTTAACCCTTGATATTCTTTATAGTGACAGATTTTCTTCTTCTTCTTCTGGTTTTGCCCTTAAAAAGTGTGTCTATATGTTGTGTTATGGTTGACAGCTTGGCTGTGGTATCTATGCTTTTTGCAGAGATTTTGCATGGACTTGAGAACTTTGCAATGACTGGCAAGATTGATGGAAGGAGAGCAAGGGGAAGGCAAAAAGATAAATACCTGGATGGTTTGGTCATGTGGATGAGGTGAGACCAGAATACTGACCTGGTCCGTGATTCTAGTGATCATGTGGGATGTCGAAACATGACAGCCTGTGCTTGTAGGCACATCACATGATGATGATATAGGTTGATCCCTAGTTTTGGAAAATTTTTTAAGGCTCGAAAACTCAGTTTATACCTGGCATGGTCAGAGGCAGCATTTTACAAAATGAAGAATATTTTATGCAATCTTAAGATGAGAGCGGAGCACGCATGGGAATGCCCCGAGTGCTGTGACGTCAGTTCTTGACCCCAATCAATTTTTTGATAGTTGAGACAAGAAAGAGAATTCTTAGAAGCTACATAAATCCTATCTTGATACACGGACGTGAGTCATGGATAGTCGGTAAATTAGTTACTTATTTGGAAGCTGCAGAGATGTGGTTTTATGATGAGAATACCCAGGACAGATAAAAAGAGTAATGAAGACATCTTGAAAGAAACTGACTGGCTCACGAAGGGAACTGATTGCCCACAGCAGAAAGAGACAGTCATGTGATGAGAAGGAGAACACTGGAGTACATCGTGACAGAAGGAAGCTAGAAGGGAGAGAAGCAGAGGGAGGTTAAGGTTAGTTGCGTATCCTTTACAGGACGTTGCAGAACCAACCCCAACAGCCCCTGGCTGTTGTGTGGTTTTTCTAGGCAAATTTACGTCCGGTAGTTTGCCATCGCTCCCTGGACGGTCGGCTTTCTTGAAACCACTGTCGAAACGAACTCAAGGTGCATGGCCCTCAGCTGGTATCTAACTCGACATCCCGGCATTACGAAGCGTTCGCATCGACTTAGCCGCAGAGGGAGACCGAGAGAAAAAATGCCGGACAGTTTGACGTCATGGCATGGACAATCATCTCTGTCAACAGTTGATTGAAAAGTACACGAGACACAATGTGGTTGTGGATCGTTACGCGACATGGACTTAAAGTAGTAAATATTGGTATAAATCATGCGCAGGTGCAAATCATGTATGTGTGTCTTCGCCAGGTAATCGAATGTTCAGCTTTGATGACAGCGAGGTTGATTTCTACCTGCCTCAGTTACTCAACATGTACATACACATGCACGACGTGGCAGAAGCCATCCATCCCTACCTGGTGCACAGGTGAGTCCCTGTACCTGAGTGTGTTTTATAAGGGATTAATGTAGGCCTTGGGGGGCAGTTTCTGCTAACATCACACATTCGTCTTCTGGTGTGGATTCCGTGGTTTTATTGGGGAAAGGGGTGGGGGGGGGCAGGAATACCACTAATTGGGAGCTTTCTTAACATGTTCAGCACCAACCAGCTCACCAAACGTTCCTTGATCATCATCATTATCCCGTAACACTACATGTCATTGAGTCACCAGTTTCTGTTGACTGTCTGATCAGCTCTCTCCACCTTTAGCGGTCAATTGCGATGGACTTCATGGTTGCATGCCTGAGGCCTGCCCAGTCAGTCAGGTTCTGTAATCAGGTCTTTCTTGGTCTACCTCTTCTCCTCTTTCCCTCTACTGAGCCCTGCAGTATTGTTTTTAAGAGGCCGTTAAATCTTATTTCATGTCCATACCATTGCATTTTTCGCCTTTTCACTGTAGTTAAAAGAGGTTCGTAGTTGCCTTGATCATTCCAAAGATGATATCCTTGCTTACTTCTGTGATAGACAGATCGTACTGCAGCCCTTCGTCTCAGAATTATTAGTTGAGGTACTTCTGCCTTGATGTGTCTTTGCTGAACTTCTTCATGCTTACGTATTTTGTTGATTTTTAAGCCCATCTTCTTGGAGTAGGAGGAGTTAAAGTGATAACTGATTGGGACTGAAAAAGTTAAAAGTCCATGCGGAAATGAACAACCAGCTGCATTAAAATATGCCAGTAAAACGGATGTACACGCAAAACTCATGCCCTGGCACACAGCAGAAGTCCAAATGGACGAACAGCCAGGACTTTGCGTCGGATCTCACAACCGGTGAACAAAGAAGAAGAAACATATTCTTCTTCTATGTTCGTCCTTTAAAGGATGATTGGCATGTTGTGTTGGGGTTACAGCTAGGCTGCGATATCTACACCTGACCGAAGACTATTTCAACAAACCCCTAACTAGTCGTCACCTGGCTTAGGCGTTGCGAACTCGCTTCGTAATGCTGGAGTGTCGTCTTTGATCCCAGCTGCGCCAAAGCGCCTTGCGTTGGTTTTGATAGTGATTTCGAGAAGCCGACCGTTCAGGGAGCAATGGCAAACTACTGGACGGTTAATTTGCCTAGAAAAACCACAACGGCCAGCAAATGCTGGGGTTGGTTCTGCAATGTCCTGTAAGGGATACGCAACTAACTTAACCTAACTAATCGCCTTTTACAAGATGCTTGTCGGGGGAGTGTAGATCTTGTTTGTCCCCCCTCCCCTCCCGAAATAGGGCCTCAGAACACAAACCAGGGGTATTAAGTTCAATTTATAAACCGGGTCAATTGATCTGCGATGGGAGATAAGCAGATTGTTGAACGCTAAGTCAACAGTGACACGTAGTGGCAGTAACCTCCCTTGTGTGACCGGTTCTGGTGACCTTTCATCAACAGTGGGAAGACAGCCATGTTCAGAACATAATATATCATTATCGACTCCTAAGTATGTTAGAGATAATGTTTACCGTACGCGATTGAACAGGCGACTGGGATGGAGGAACACAATATGGCAATAAGCTTGGCAAGATGTGACTTAGTAGATCAGCGGTTTTCAACATGTACGTCGCGACTCCTTTAGTGGTCGAACGACCCTTTCACAGGGGTCATTGGAAAACACATATTCACTTAAGTTGTGAAGTAGCAACGAAAATAATTGTATGGTTAGAGGTCGCCACAACGTGAGGAACTGTATTAAATGGTCGTGGCGTTAGGAAGTTTGAGAACCCTTGCATTAGATGTTTGTTTCTAGCTTCTCAAGCTGTTTCTGTCCAGGCGTGGCGCATTTTCTAGTTGAAAACATGAACTGTCCGCCATTAGTAATTTTACGTGGGCACTTTGGTTTTGATTTGACTTGCTTGAAAAATAAATCTGCCGTAACGCCAAGTAGAGCCAGTCTCTTCACGTATATCACAGTCACAAGGTTTGAGGTTTTATCAACGGATCAACATCATGGCACATGGGTAGTACCCATAAGTGCTCCGTTCTTCTTCTAACTCAAGTCCGAGTCCGAAAAAGCTTAGCACGGTGCACACGTTCTGTAGCACCGGCGAGGATTCTGAATACTTTGAAGAGAGTTAGGGGTAGTTTTTTATGCTTCTTCTTCTTCTTCTTCTTCTTCTTCTTCTTCTTCTTCTTCTTCTTCTTCTTCTTCTTCTTCTTCCTCCTCCTCCTCCTTTTTCTCCTCCTTGTTCTTCAATATTCTGAACCCATAAGGTTCATTGCTGCAGATATCACCCGCCTTCACTCGTCTCTCTGGTTGGCCTTCTCTTTCCACCTGGTGACTCCAGGTGTTTGCAGGTCTGTCTGGACAATATCTCTCCATCGTCTTCTTGGTCTGCCTCGTGGTCTGTGACCATTTAGGTTCCTCGTGTATACAGTTTTTACCTCTCTGTCATCTGACTTTCTCTCAGTATGCCCCTGGTATGATGCCAGTGATCAGTGGTGATTTAAGCAGACTATAAATTTCGGCGTTGCTTCTCACTCTCCATTCCCCATTGCCTACCTACATTTTCCTGAAAAATCACTTTCATAAAAATGGTCTTTTGATTTACTTACGTGTGTTGTGTTTGGTTTCATGAGCCCTATTTCAAAGAAGAAGAAGAAGAAAGAAGAAGAATAAACAAAGGCAGTTTCCGAAAAAAATCCAATATTTTAGAGGTGTGTCGAGTTGAGGTAAGGGCTGGGCCGTGCCGTAGATTTCACGGTGTGGTGAAAGTCTTCGAAATGCCGCCTCTATTAGCTTCGCGCTGTCAGATGAGAAATTCAAATTGTAGTTTGATTTCGCTGCTTATGCCGCCCCGCTGCAGTGCCGCCTGATGCGGTAGCTTATCTGTATCACAGCGCGGCGCGGCTTTTTAGGTTAGGGTCTTTGTCAGCCCGGACCGCCTGAGAAACACATACTAACCCTACCCCTAAATCTAATCCTTATCCCAACCGATAAACACGATATTGGACTTTCCCGGAAACTCTGGGATTTCCTTTTTTTTTTTTTTTTTGAGTGTGAATTACAAAATAAAGTACCCAAAGTATGATGATACTTCATTCATAATCCTGATGACACTAATCGCTCCAACGGCACCATTGTGGCCCTTGACACATTTTGAGAATGCTGCTGACGTAACTTTTGTATCGTCCTTTATTATTCTGTTTGCAGAGGACAAACGCAATATCATGGCTGGTTGCTGCAATCAGTTGGCATATGACGCGGGCGGGCGGTCGTTAATATGTTTTATACTGGCCGGTATGGAGACACCTGGGTGGATCAATACTGGCTTGGGCACAGTTACATCCCCTGTAATGTTCATGCAGATGATGTCTGCACCAGGGGGTGCCGGAGCCAGGTGGTAAAAGGCTGGGGTGAGGGGGGGGGGCGCTCAGGGCTGTAAACCTGCTAATTGTATGCTTTGAATCCGTGTCTGGTTTTTTTTTTTTTCGTGTACCGCAAATAAGGCAAAGCGACAACTAAATGTTTGTTAACAACGTAATTGTTTTCCTACAAGGACATGAATAAATTTACGCCCCCACACAGAACGGTTACTGTGTTACAAATTTTTCAAGCTGGGCACGACGCACTTTAAGAATAATAATAATTATTGTTATTATTGCGCACTTAAAGGCTTAAGTCCGTTGGGCCCCCACCTCTAGCAAATTATATGAGGACCCCCCCCCCCTCCCTTTTCTGAAGTTGTGTGTGTGTCGACGCCCCTGAAAAGGGTGGTGTGTGTTTTGTCCCCCGTGCGCCTGAACCTTGGTCTGTTTGGTGTCGTCGAGCATTACATGGGAACTGGCAGGGCTGCCAATGATGGGTTTTTACCCCCAGATCTGGGTTTCTATTTGACGCTTCGGGTTCAAATGTTGGAATCTGGGTTTAAAAAAAATATATCCTTATATAAAACTGGGTAACTGTTTCATTTTTACTATAAAATTTGTACTTTTTAACAATTGGCGTTTTTATAATTTTTTTTTTTTTTTTTTTTTTTTTTGTTTTTTTTTTTTGTTTTTTGCCTTTGTATTGATTGGGGTTTTGTTAAGCTTAGCTGGGTTAAAAAAAAAATCCTATTGGCAGCCCTGAGCTGGGCTCATCAGTGCATGACGTCAAGAGACCACAGCAGCCGTGTGCCACGTCAAGCAGTCTGTATGATAGAACCGGTAGCACATCCTCCCACAACTAGGGTTCTTCCTGTGTATGTGTGGTCCGTAAACGCCCCGGCATCTCACTGTGTATGTGTGGTCCGTAAACGCCCCGGCATCTCACTGTGTATGTGTGGTCCGTAAACGCCCCGGCATCTCTCTGTGTATGTGTGGTCCGTAAACGCCCCGGCATCTCACTGTGTATGTGTGGTCCGTAAACGCCCCGGCATCTCACTGTGTATGTGTGGTCCGTAAACGCCCCGGCATCTCACTGTGTATGTGTGGTCCGTAAACGCCCCGGCATCTCACTGTGTATGTGTGGTCCGTAAACGCCCCGGCATCTCACTGTGTAGGTGTGACAACACTCCAGGGGTAGAGAAAAGAAGAACTAGAAAATAAAGAGGAAGAAAATTGGGGGGGGGGGGGAGGCGGGGGGTCCTGACTTTTTGGGATATCCCGTTTTCAACTGAGGATATCCTCTTCTTCTTCTTCTTCGCGTTCACCGGCTTTAAACTCCAGCGGAAAGTTCTGGTTGTTCGTCCACTTCTGCACTCTAGTCCTGTCCCAGAAACGGAATGTTGCATGCACATTTTTTTTCACAGGTCTGATTCATCTGCATGCAGACTGTTAATTCCTTGCCTCTCAGGAATATGTACTCCGACTTAGAAGATAGCTTCCATTTAGTCGACTCTTACGACATGCTTGTGGGCAGGCAGTGGGTCTATTCTTGTATTCCGTCACAATGGGGCCCCGGAACCCACTCGGAGAAGCTGAAGATATTAATGTTACCCCGCACATCGCTGATCGAGCGATGATTG